GCCACTGCACTCCAGCCTGTGTGACAAAGCAAGACTCTGTTTCAAAAAAAAAAGAGTGTCAATCTGGCTTCTCAGGTGAGACCCTCAGGGGCTTTGCCCAAGTTCCCACACATGCCCTGAGAATCCCAGGTAGTGACTCAAGAGTGGCAGTGGCCCCGTCCTGAGGTCTGATCTGAAAGCCAGCATGCTTCCTGTATGGCATGAGGATGTGACCAGGCATTTAGCTAAGGGATCTAGAGTCCCACAGCTGCTCAGGGATTCTCCAGAGAAGAGGAAGAGGAGGAGGCAGAGGAAGATGTGGCTACTGCATGTCAGCGGTCACCCTGCTGGCTGCTGGTGCAGTGCCTGGCATATAATAGGCCTTCAGTAAAGTGAACTTGGGAATTCCAGAGAAAAATCGTTTCCTCCCTAGCCTGGCATCTCAGAGGTTTGTCCAGCCTTAGATGGTAGCAGGGATAGGAAACTCCTGATTTCAAAGTAGGGGTGAAAGAAGGAAGTTAGCATGTCTTAAACTCGGCTAAGTATGGGTGTCAGGCGTGGTGGCTCATGCCTGTAATTCTAGCTCTTTAGGAGGCCGAGGCAGGTGGATCACTTGAGGCTAGGAGTTCGAGACCAGCCTGACCAAGCTGGTGAAATCCCATCTGTACTAAAAATACAAAAATTAGCTGGGCACAGTGATGCGCACCTGCAGTCCCAGCTACTCGGGAGGCTGAGGCAAGAGAATGGCTTGAATCCAGGAGGTGGAGGTTGCAGCGAGCCGAGATTGTGCCACTGCACTCCAGCCTGGGTGACAGGGCAAGACTATCTCAAAAAAAAAAAAAAAAAAAAAAGAGCTTACATTTCACTCAGTTCTAGAGGAAAGAGCCAGGCAGTTGGGCCTTCATAGCATCCAGAGGTCTCTGTGGGCTGGGGTGGTCAGGGAGGGTTTCTAGGAGGAGGGAGCCTTGATCTGGAATTGTCCCTGTTATGGTGGGGGCTTCACATTGCCCAACTCCATGGGGCTTTCACCTCCCTCCATGGAGGCCAGTGAGGTGAGTCTCATCTTTCTCGGGTCTACAGATGAGGAAACGACCAGTTGCCCAATGTCATGCAGCTAAAATGTAGGGTGACCAGCCCTCCTGACTTGCCTGGGGCTGTCTGGGTTTATCAATGAAGAGCCCACATCCTAGGAAACCCTTCAAACTGGGGTGGTTGTTCACCCTAGTTTTAGGGACAGGGCTGGGATTTGAACCCAAGACTGGCCGATCCACATATCCCCTTGTTCCTGTGCACCATCCTGTTCTTTTTGAATTTGCTCCTTCTTCCTCTTCTGAATTTATCAGCTCTGGTTCTCTTGGTCCCTGGAGAACTGCCCTGTCCCACGCCTTCTGCGGATCTCCCCAAAGCCCGGGGCTACGCTTTCTCTCCCTCCAGCGCCTTATCTTCCCTTGTCTTCTTGTGGAAGAAGAGATAAAAGTAATTCTTATGGCCGCTTCTCCACTGGCGAAGGCCAGCCCCGTCCCCCTCCTGCTGCATTTCCCTGGTCCGGCCAGATAAAGGGTTAGGCCTAAGCACATGTCATTTTCTTTGTGTGAAATCAATATTCAGCAAAGTTTATCTGCCCGACATAGCAGGAAGTGCTAATTTCATCCGCGTCAATTATTTTGATGAATGTTCATAATGCCCGGGGTGTGAGCAGAAGATAAAAGAATTACTGGAATTACGCACACGTACGCCTTGCACACACACACACACACACACACACACACACATGCTTGCCCATGAGTTCACACTAGGGCACACACAGGCCTGGTCAGGGGAAGGTGCTGACTGAGAGCTGCCCTGTCCTCCCGAGCTGCTGATGGTTCAAAGTATCTCCGAAAGAGGAATCAGGAGAGGGGATTTGTGCGAGAGTGTTATCAGTCCTTGATTTTTAGGATAGAACAGAGGTTCTCAACTGGGGGGCGATTTTGACCCCCAGGGGACTTTTGGCAGTGTCTGGAGCCATTTTTCGTTGGGGAGGGGAGATGCTCCTGGCATCTGGTGGGTAGAGGCAGGGTTGTGCTAAACGTCCTATAATGCCCAGTATAGCCTGAAAACAAAGACTTCCCCAGCACACACTTCAGTGGTGTGGAGGTTAAGCTATATTAGAATGGAGTTTTAAAGTGTTTACTTTTAAAGCATGTCTCTATAGGGACGTGTTTCTAATTTCTAGCAATGCTGGCAAGAAAATATTTGTGCGTTTGCACATATATTTCAGACAGAATGAAGAAACAAGAGATCAGATGCTAAATGCAAGTAGAGAAATGTTTTTTCTTAGCTAATTCCACCTCCTGGTGATTCCCTGTGACATTTAAAAAGACATAGTAGAAGGCAGGGCTCGGTGGCTCACGCCTGTGATCTCAGCACTTGGGGAGGCAGAAGTGGGCGGATCACCTGAGGTCGGGAGTTCGAGACCTACCTGACCAACATGGAGAAACCTTATCTCTACTAAAAATATGAAAATTAGCCGGGGTGGTGGCACATGCCTGTAATCCCAGCTACTCGGGAGGCTGAGGCAGGAGAGCTGCTTGAACTCAGGAGGCTGAAGTTGCAGTGAGCCAAGACCATGCCATTGCACTCCAGCCTGGGCAACAAAAGCGAGACTCCATCTCAAAGAAAAAGAAAAAGAAAAAAAAGACGTAGTAGAATAAAGACAAATCTGAGTTTTAAAAGCTGGCCTGGTATAAATTCTCATGGGATATAAGCCATGGGCCAAGCCATAGTCAGCAGAGTAGGAATGCTAAGGATGAATTCTGGGGGCCCGGGGGTCTCTCTTGGATGTGTGTGCAAGGCTGTGCTGGTGAGAGGGCGCTCGGTCTGCTCCTGGGATCCTGCCACGTGTGAGCGGAGTCATGCATTACCCCACGCATGTTTGTCATTGCAGGACAGGCACACAGACCGGAGGACCCCCGTCTTCTACTTAGAAACAGCTAAATTTGAGCGTTTTATTGGATAGCACGTCTGAAACTAACATGCTCACAGATCACCTGGAAATCTTACCAAAATGCAAAGTCTGATTCAGCAAGTCTGGGGTGGGGTCCGAGATGCTGCATTTTTGACCAATTTAGTGCAGGAAGCCAAATGCCTTTTCTATGAGTCTGGCCTAAACTACGTGTCATCAATGAGGTGCTACAGGCTATGTTGTGCTGGGATTTTTCTACCTTCCTTCATAGCAGCCTCCATAACCTGTAAAAAACTCCTGATCTTCTAACAAAAGTCAGCAGCACATATAAATACATATATATTTTAAACAAATATATCTGAAGATGCCCCTTCTAGGATGAAATGCTGCGTGTCGATCACATAATATATGATGTTGTGAGCAGATGTCATGATATTATATGATAAAATATTATGAGTAGATGATATGCTATTTATTATGAGCAGGTGATATATGACGCCATATTACGATTATGGATGATGATGTATTGTGTATCCTGGCATATGCAGGAGATTATGTATTCACACGCTCTGGCACAAAGAGTCTGATTTAAGAACTTCCTTCAACTCACCTACCTCTGGCTCTGCCAATCAAAGTCTCTCTGCTGAGTGGGACAGAGGAGCCAAACTCTTCAATCCTTAGGACTAAGCTGTGTGTGGATTTGAGATTTCTGGGGATTTTAGGCCCACGGGCCACGAATTCTGAGTATTCTGCAACCTGCTCAGGGCTTTGGGTCTGCAAGAGCTGGTTCTCAGATCCATTTGTAGCATGAATAATATGAGAATAAAATTTCTGCAAGCCAATGGCCGGTCCAAGGCGTGTAAAGAAAAAGCTGGGTATACCCCTGATCCTGAAACTAAATTATAACGAGCAAAAACAGAATCAAGAGGGAATATCTGCAAGTAATAACAGGAGCCCTTCAGAGTTCATTTCATCAAAGCAGCCATCAGGTGAATACCAATGCAAATACTCTGTAGATAAACAATCACTCCTTGCCTATTTGGAGGGACGGAGAGAGCAAAGAGGAGTTTGAATGAATAGCAGGTCTGAAAACTAAATATCCTCCAATCAATAAAAATCCATTCCCCGCATATCAAATTCTAAGGTCTTGCATTTTTCAATGCGGAGATAAAAATTCACTGGTAATTAGCAATTGCAGAGGCAATAAGGGGCAGCGCCTTGGGGTGCACACTCTGGAGGCAGCTGGCCTAGGTTCAAATCCAAGTTCTACCACTTCCTGGCTGGGTGACCTCAGGCAGGTTGCAGAATGCTCTGTGCCTCTATTTACATGCCTGTAAATGGGCATTATGGCAACTCTTGTCTCACAAGGTGGTTATGGGGATTTAAGACACACAAAGTGCTTGGAGCAGTGCCTGGCATGCAGAAAGCATTCACCAAATGCTCAATTTTTATGTGATTACCAATAAACCTATTTACCCAGGAATTAAAATGCTGCACTCCTTAGACAGTTCCTCTTCTGAAGAAGCTGAAATGTGCTCCCTGAAATCTGGCTTCCACATCTAAAGTGTGCCCAGCGCACTGCTGTTGTCGGTGGAGTGGAGGCGGACCTTCCCACAGTAAAAGTGGCATTACTGTCAGTGGTTGACTGAGTGGAAGCTTTGGTGACTTCAGGGTCAATGAAACACTGAAAATTTATGTTGACAATTACTTGACATTAATTACACTCCTCATTCATGAAGTCTCCATTAAAATGAAAAGAACCCAAGACCTAGATTCATAAGCTTAGGAGAAAGGGTTTTATTACTGATTTTCACTAAAGTGGATATGGCTACCTTTGGCAACCCAAAAGAGTGGTTTCTTTTCTTTTCTTTTTCCTTTCTTTTCTATTTTTTTTTTTTTTTTTTGAGATGGGGTTTCATTCTTGTTGCCCATACTGGAGCACAACGGTGCAATCTTGGTTCACTGCAACCTCCGCATCCCAGGTTCAAGAGATTCTCCTGCCTCCGCCTCCTGAGTAGCTAGGATTACAAGCATGTGCCACCACGCCTGCCTAATTTTTTTTTTTTTTTAGTAGAGATGGGGTTTCTCCATGTTGGTCTGGTTGGTCTTGAACTCGCGACCTCAGGTGATCTGCCCATCTCAGCCTCCCAAAGTGCTGGGATTATAGGCATGAGCCACTGCGCCTGGCGAAAAGTGGCCTCTTTTCATTCCCAAGCTCTCTTTGCACCTGGTTCTGCTCCCCGTGAGGCTCCATCCCATAGGTGGCTTGTTTTTTATCTAAAGCAGGATTATTCAACCTTGGCACCGTTGGTGTTTTGGGTCGAGTGATTCTTTGTCATAGAGGTGCTGTCCTATGTACATTAGGATGTTTAGCAGCATCTCTGAACTCTACCCTTCAGATGCCAGGAGTGTCATCTCCTTAGTCACAGCATATTGGAATGACCACGGCCATTCTTCTCAAGTATTCAGTACTAAGATGTCGTCCCACTCACATGGCACCTCAGCTAGGATGGTTCTCATGGCAGGGTTGGCTGCAACTGTTTTACTGGGGTCACTTGCCTGGGGGCTCAGTTCTTGCTCTTGGCTACATTTCTTTGTCTTCCTCTATGGCATCTCAGGTTCTGTTTCTCCCCACATAACCTCTCTATGTAATCTTTCTAGCAATGTGGCCAGACTTCTTAAAAACCAGCTCCAAGAGGGAACATTGCAAGTGGTAAAGAAGGAAGCAGGAGATCTCTGGAGGCCCAACCTTGGATGACTACAGAGCATCACTTCCAGCACGTTTTATTGGTCAAAGTGAGTCATGGGGCCAGCTCAGATTCTACGTAGGAGGGAAATGCATAACTACCAGGAGACCTGGCTCACGGGGGACTGTGTAGCAAGAGTTAATATAGCAGGTCTGATTATAGGGCTGGTTCTTGGCTGGCATCTGGGAACTTGTCTGTTGGAATGTTCTCTATGCTATAAGGTTGTTTTGCCAAGCCACAGGCACCAACGCCAGCTTTCTTTCTGAGAATCTGGAATTTTGGGTATTGTGGCTGTCTACATGATGAGCCCTCAATAAAAACACGGGTGTGGAGTCTCAGATGGACTTCTCTGGGCAGAAACATTGCACATGTGTTTCCTCATCTTGCTACTGGGGAAAGGGGCACTCTCAATGTCCTTTCTTGGGGAGGGAGGGAAAGAGCATCAGAAGCCTGAGTGTGGAGCCCTCCGGATGTTACTTGAGGTGTCTTTCTGTCTTGCTGATCCTGCCATTGTAATAAACTACAGATGTGAATATAACAACCTCCATGAGTTCTAGCAAGGCATGGAATGTGTGGATAATCTCAGAGGCCCTTGAAGCAGGGAACTGTCTCTCAGAAACAAGCTACCACAAATGGGTGCTAACAAGGCCCATAATGGGAATCCGGATTCCCTTTGGAGGTCAGATGCCAATACCAGGTACTGCCTTATGTCTCTGAACTGCCCCACCCAGCTTCCTGGAAAATGAGAGTCTCAAACACCCAACCCCAGGTGAGTAGCCTGCCTCAGTCTCCCAAAGTGCTGGGATTACAGGTGTGAGCTACCTTGCCGCATCAAAATGAGAGTCTAAGAGGGTTGATGAAAAGGAAGAATATGAGTACTTCTTGATACTCCCCCATTATGGGCAGCGTCTTTACAAAGGTGGTACCAAAATTGGAGTCACCTCCAACCCCTGCAATCTAATTGCATGGCAGTATTATTGACATGAACAAAAAATAGAAAACAGCCTAATGTCTAACGGTAGAAGACTGGTTAAGAAAATTATGACACATTCATCAGATGCAGTTACCGAAGTAAGGTTTGTGGAGAGTTAATGGCAGGGATGTACTTATGATACGTTATAAGTTAAAAAAAAAAAAAGATTAGATAATTGCTTAAGTGTAATATTATCAATGTGGATCTCTGTTGATGTCATTCTAATTAATTAATTAATTATAATTGCCTCTCTTTCCTGCCAGGCTGTGAGCCCTTTCAGGTGGAGATTTTGATTTGCATTTGTGTTAATGGCAAATATTTATTGGGCACTCACTATGTGAGTTGTACTCTGTTAAGTATTTTACATGGTTTAATCCTCATAACAGCTGTGGTAGAGTGCCTGCATCAATGGCCCCATTCCCTGTATCCCCCTACTTTGCAATGTGACTTTGTAATTCCTCCCCTCAAGAGTTGGAGTTGATTTCTCCTCCCCCTGAGGCTGAGCTGGCCTTATGACTTGTTTTGACCAATAGAATGCAACAGAAACGATGACCATGGTAGTTCTGAGCCTAGATCTCACAATAGACCATCTGCACTTCATTTCTCGCTTGGAGCCCTGTCTCTGAAATGAGAACAAGCCTGGGCTAGCCTCCTGGAAAATAAGAGACCATGTGGAGCAGAACAGCCATTCCAGCTGAGTCAGCCCCCAGCTAAGCCACCACCTGATTTTAAGCTGCTCAATTGACCATAGACTTAAGGACCATGATAAACAGTGATCGTTGTAAGCAATTGAGGGTTTTTTCTTCGGGGTTGGGGGTAGGGAGGAGTTGTGGTTTGTTACACAGCAATAGCTAACTGATACAATAGCCCTAGGAGGTAGGTTCTACTATCCACATACCAATCTTATGGATGAGGGAAGTGTCAGAGGCATTAACTAATTTGCCTAAGGTCATGAAGCTAATTAATGCTGAAGTGAGAATTAAGCTCATACAGGCCAACTCCAACGTCCTAGCTCTTACCTTCTATACATACTGCTTCTGTATTTCCATGACAGCATAGGACTTGGCATGTAGTAGGTGCTCATGTATTGTTACTTGAGTGAATGATTTACTACTCATTCTAAATTTTTAAGCAGATCTTTACCAAAGCATTAACAATGGAGAACACTAAGTGGAGGAATAATGGATTAAAAAAAATACATAACATGTTTATGTATTTGCTTTAAAAGGAAAACCCAAAAAGTATTATTTACAAAACAAAAACAAAAACAAAAAACAATACACAGAGGTCAGAAGAGTAGAGGACACAGCTGGTCTTGGGTAGGTCCAGAACCGATCATTTCTTCTACAATGTTGTCAAAGGCAGGTGGCAAGTCTTAACTTTCTGGAGTCTTCCCAGTGCTCTGGTGGTCTCACTCAAAGGCCAGATTCCCACCCCAGCCTCTCAAATTCTCTGTTTGAGGGAGCAGAAACCAGCACTCTATTTCCTCACAGATCCAAGAGCATCCTGGGAAATACAAACACTGGGGCGTTTCCCTATTAGTTTCTGTTTCTCTATTTTTTCAAATAAGGGAATAACAAATGTCATATAAATTACACAATTTAGTACAAAATGTAATTTAGCCTCAAACAACAGCTGACAAAAAGAAAAAGAAACTCAGCAGTCTATTGAAGAACAATTTCATTTAGCAGATAATTTAGAATCACTAAGTATTAGTTTTCTTAAAATCAAGAAATGCTAACAGTGTTTCAAGGATCTTATTGCTGTTACTAACTGGGAAAGTCTTTGCATAATTAGCAATGTGGCTCTTTGCAGAACAACATGCCCCTTTTATGTGGAAAGATGGGAATGAATTATCTGTGGGGTCTTGTACATGTTTAAGTGGGCTTTATAAGTGTCACCACTGATACATTCCTGGACTTGAGCCAGACCATGTAATGTTTGACAGGCATTTGGTGCAGGCAGGAAGGAGGAAGTTCGATGAATGGCTAGAATTATTTCTGCAGTTCTTGGTATTGGCAAGAGAAGTCTGAGTCCTTAGTTTCCCAACCGAGACTTGTGTCTGGACAATGCACTGAATCATGATCTGGGTAGGAGTTGAAATTTTAGGGGCAGAGGAAGGTTAATGGCCTTAGTGGGTCCAGAGCTGATTATTCAGCAGTAGTGTGAGGTGCAGGCATCAGTTTAGGTGATAGTCTAAATTATTCTTCTTGTATGCAGCCTTTGGGAAAGAACTTACTGGATTGTATTAGTCAGTAGAGGCTGGGTCATGCTGCGTAACAAACAGTCCAAGAATCTCATGGTTTTAAAAAAAGAAGGTTAACTTCTTGCTCATCTCACTTGTCCAGTGCAAATCAGTAGATGCACCACTGCTCATTGAAGTCACTCAGAAACCCAGCTAGAGGAGCAGTCACTATTTTTAGGACACTGCTATCTCGACATATGTTTCCACAATCCATGCAGCAGAGGAAGAGAGTGCTGGAGAGTCAAGTACAAGCAATTAAATGTTTGACCAAGAAGCAACACAATTACTCTTGTTCAAATTTAATTTGGACAAACAGTCATATCACTACATCTAATTTCAAGGGAAAGAGGACTTGTCACCCCCTTGTACCTGGAAGTAGAGACCTAGCTGATAATGAACATTAATGATGTCTGCCACATGGAATAGAGATTTTTGGGGTCTGGGAAATTGGATGCTCAAGAGTGGCAACCTCTAGATATGAACGTTATTAGTTATTAACAGCAGCTTCCCACCACTTATTATCTTTGTACCTCTTTATATTCTACAAAGGGTATCCACGAACAGCTTCCTTGATCCTTTCAATAATAATAAAAACTAACATATATTTTAAAACCAGAAACAAGGTAGCTACCAGGCACTTTGCATATGTGGTCTCACCTAATTCTATGAGCACTGTATTACTAAAAATCCCCATTTTACAGACAGAACAACTGAAGCTCAGAGAGGTTAAGTGACTCGCCCAGCATTACACAGCAGTAAGCAGCCATGCTTCCAATTCTAGCTCTGCTTTTCTCTTAAGGAAGGAAAAAAAAGGGTTGGCAAGTGACTGAGATGGTTGATTATGTGAAACTAGTCACTTAAGTTAGCCAGAAAACCTCTTCTTTGAATGACCAAGTAGACTCAGTGATCATCTTAGGCAAAATCTACAATTTCCAAGTTACCTGTTTCTCCCCTTCCACCAGATGTATCTTGATCTGTCCTGAAAACAGGCATCCATGAACAGAGCAGGGGTGAGTTGGTTTCAGGGTGCAGTGTGGTGGGGAGAGGAAAAGAGGCTTTGAAATGGTGCCGAACAGTGCCCATCTTGGGCACAATCAGCAAGTGTCCAGAGGTGGGAGGGGGCTTCTTAGCAAGCTGAGCGTGATCAGAGGTGATGCCCCATCTGTCTCACTGAAACCTCAGCCCATCTGTTTTCCTGCTGTCTCCAGGGGCTGCTGACCTGACCCCTTTCACCAGCACTTACAGGAAAATGTTTTCAAACATGCTGTGTCAATGAGCCCCCCAAAACAGTGAATCAGAAGGAAACGTTTCATTTTAGAGCAGCGTTGTTCAATGGCACTTTCTGCCACTGTGGAAATGCACTTCTTCACTGTCCCAATACGGAAGCCACCTGCTACATGTCTTGAAACATGGTTAGTGGAAATGAAGAACTGGATTTGTCATGTTATTAAATTTACATTAATTTAAACATAAACAGGCACGTGTGTCTGTGGCTACCCTATTGGAAAATGTAGGCTTAGGAAGCACTTCCTCAAGAATAAGACATACCTTTAAGTAATTCACAGACAACAGTTTTGTTTTGTTTTGTTTTGTTGAGATGGAGTCTCACTCTGTCGCCTAGGTTGGAGTGCAGTGGTGCGATTTCGGCTCACTGCAACCTCTGCCTCCCGGGTTCAAGTGATTCTCCTGCCTCAGCCACCTGAGTAGCTGGGATTACAGGTGTCCACCGCCACGCCCAGCTAATTTTTTGTATTTTTAATAAAAACAGTTTTCGCCATGTTGGCCAGGCTGGTCTCCAACTCCTGACCTCAGGTGATCCATCCGCCTCAGCCTCCCAAAGCGCGAGGATTACAGGCATGGGCCACTGCACCTGGCCAGACAACAGTTTTAAATAACCTGAAATCACATGGTGAGAAATTGTCTTTCTCCAATTTTGGGATTCCAGCCAGGGGGAAGTCTTCTTTGTGGCTGATGGGTCTTTAACACTTTTCTAACAATTGCTCACCTCCCTTTCCAACAAAGAGGGCAAAAGCAGGCCGGGGGCTTCCACAGGTAAATGCATTTGGCTTACATTTAATAGCATCGTTTTGTTATTTTTTACTTATATTTATTTGTATCATTACCACCAATTTGTGGCAAGAGAAACAGATTTTCCATTTATGATAGTGATACAGAGTTTCATTGTAAAATGAAATTTTTAAAGTAGAAAAAATGAATTCACTTAAATAAAAATATTGAATTGTGGGACGGTGAACATATGGAATGTAGATAGGAAATGGATTATGGTGGTGGTATACTGACGGCCAGACTTCTTCCTCAGCCAATGTAATTTTTTTCAAGATAAACTTTATATTTTGGAATAACTTTAGATTTGCAGAAAAGTTGCAAAGCTAGTACAGAGACTTCTCATATACCCTTCATCCAGATCTCTGCTAAAGTGACCATCTTACATAAGCCTGGCATATTTGTTAAAACTGAGAAATTAACATTGATGCAACACCATTAACTCAACTCCAGACTTTATTTGGATTTCACCAGTCTTTCCACTCATGTTCTTTTTTTTTTTTTTTTTTTTGAGACAGAGTCTTGCTCTGTCGCCCAGGC